GTTAGACCTTTATATTGGCTAATGGAAATGGTAACACCATTTCCTAGTAATTTTCCTGGATGTTTCTGGAGAAAGATGTAATCTTTGTAAACTGGTACTAGTTATAGAGAAAACACAGATAAGAATTTAACCAGTTGTGTTATGTTCATAACAATTTATTGATTTTCAGTGACATTTCCAGAAAAAAAAGCTGCTCCATTTAAATACAATTTAGGCTAACAAAATAACAAAATGATAAATAAAGACTTCTGTACTTCTCCATTTAGACCTTCATGTTGGGGAAAAATTCCAAACAGTATGTAGTTACTGAACAGTAAAATGTGAAAAATCCAAGGAATTGAAAGATTGTTTTTGTTTATCTCAAGATTTTAGGGTGATGAGGGTGGGTGTGACTCAGTATTTTGAGGCTAAAGCCCTGACTTCAGATTCTTTAAAATACCACAATGTAAAAACACAACTACAAGCAAAGGTTCTTCACTCATAAGGAATATTTGCAATATATATATATATATAAGTACTCATTATATCCATTTCTACATCAGAGACCCTGACTGGTTTGATAAGATGATTACACCAAGAATGAACACCTGATAAAACAGTAAGCAGGTAATTAAATGCCAAACCCGTCTGGGCCTTGAGAATGCCATATGTTCCTAATGTGTGTGAGAAAGCAGAGCCATCCATCTGTTTATGTGAGGATACTGGCACCAAACAGCCCGTGTCTGCCTCTTTGACAAGCGTTTCTCTGATACATTACCAGAGTATGATTGTAGTATTATTAGACACTGACCAGTGAGGCGTTTGTCCTTACCATGTAAGCTTTGTCATTTTGGCTTTGGTCACAATCAAGTTGGAGGAGTATATCAATTCAAGGGCATCTCCGATCTTGGTAACTACATCTGGTTTTATCAAAGCCAGAGTTCTAGAAAAATGGGGAGAGGAAAAAACAAAGAAACATAAAGAGGAAAAATGCATCAGGATGTGAAAGGATATCTGACATTACAAACAACAGGAGACCTTAAGAAGATCTACACCATAACAAAAACACCTCTGCATCACAGTAATGTAAATGTATTTAGAATTTATAATGTATTGACATGTAGGGTTCAGTATTATACCTGAATGTACATTGGATGAAATGGAAATTGTGAGCACAAAGAAAAACCAAAAGCTGACAAGTTCTTGGTTAGTCTGATAGTCTTAGGTTTATTGTTTTATTACTTAATACTGTAGTTTTTGAGTTGTTGATGGAACTAATAGACAAAAAGAAAGTTACTTTGGTATTATTAGCAACAGCTAAGTATCGTATTTGCACCAGATTTGAAAAATTTTGAGTGATACCCAGCCGAAATATGAGGTACAATAAGATAGTCAAACACATTCACCTGAAATCAAATTGTTTGTTTGATCACAACAGAAATCTCTTTTCCAGCAGATGGTGCTTGATAAGCATGCATCACTGACAATACTGTATTTAAGAATAGAAAAAGACCTTCCATCAAATTATGAAAGTAAATTATGATAGAAAATGTAGAACAAATGTAGCTTACACAGCAGTTTAACAAAACATGTTACAGGAAATATGATTAATTTCCAAAAGATAAAAAAAAAAAGTAAATAAAAAATAATAATGTTCGGATAAAGATTATGAGCCACACTTGGTCGGTTTAATTACGGGGTGGGACAAACCTGTGAGGCATGTAACTGGTGAGGATAATACAGACTTATTGCACAACCTAAACAATCGTACCTTTCTTTTTTGCTGCCAAGTTTGTTTGCTGTGTATTGATCCCCATATTCAATCAGATTAAGTTGCCGTGAGAACACATTCACTCGATTCCCAACAAACAGGTCCTCTTGATGAATGTCATCATATTTGGTCCTTCTCAAAAATATTCGCTGGTTCTTTACATCAAACTGCAAATAAAAACAAGCATGTTAGTAGTTTTTCAAACATAAATGTGATGAATATTAAACTTTAGCACTTATAAAGATATCAAGTACTTAAAAAGTCAGCAATAAAAAAACATGTTCTAAAATCAAAATTTTATCCAAGGCTGTCAGAATCCATATTTATTTGATGTAAAGAATTCATTTGCACCTTACCCTACCAGTCACCAAAACATTCTGACTTTGATGCTAAAAAGCTTCATACATTTTAATTAAAATATCCTTGCTTTTCTAAGTAGCCTCAGAAGATGAAGCACCCAATGTAACAACAAATGTAGTATTAATTGAAATAGTAAATGTCTACCATTTCCACTGAGCTATCTTTGGGGTAGTAGAACAGTTGGTAGCGCCGCAGGAGAGCTGCAGTTGGGTCATACCACTCAGCAAGAAAGGCAAAGCGAACCTCCTGATAAAGTCAAAGGACAGAACAAATTAGAGTCATTTGGAGGCACAAAATAACTCATACTGTGGTTTACAAACATCAAAAATATATCACAATGCCGACTGAAACAATGAGGCTTTGATTCTGTTGCAACCAAAGTTAATGTCTTTATGTGAAATTGATTTTGTGTAGGCTTCAGTCACAGACACAGTTACCCAAATAGTTTCACAATAACCCTAAATGAGAACAAGGAAAACACTGATTAGTACGAGTCCAAACAATTCATGTTTAAGTAACATTTTTGCCAGGGGCAAAAACCCCATACTTGCTGCAGTAGATCTATCTGTCCATTAAGTATGTAAAACAGCCATTTCAGTGGAGTTTTTGCATGTTCTAGTCCATTTACTACAACTAATTATTCATTATTCACTAGTGTTAAATATTTTTCAATGAATGCTTTTGTGTTTGAGGTTTTTGAATGTATCTTCCAAACTTTTAGTTATCATTATTTTTGGCTAATTAGGTAACACAAAGCAGTGAACATCAAATCTAATTTATTTTGTAAAAAAACAAATGGTCAACTGATGGTAACTGTATTTAATAAGTCTATGCAAGACAACTGAAAGCATCCAAAAACATGAGTATGGTTCTTTAAAGAGCTAAGTTTAATCACATGGCAGACTATGGTAGACTTTTCTCGTTTAGCGAGTCTGGGCTACTACAAACTCAAGAGTAAAGTTTCTGGAAATCTCTCGTTAGCATGAAAGCCATCTTCAAATCAAAGAAGTGCTAAATGTCACTCGTTTTTGTGATTGTACTAACAATTAAGACTGACTGAGAATGACCTAATGTAAACACTTGAGCAAAGATAGACCTGGTTTTATTTATCTATTCTACCAAACCACACTGAGATTCCAAAAAGCAGAGAACACTAATACATACAAATGATTGCCTCAAATTAATTTGTCTTAAACCTTTAAAGTTTACTGAGGTAGCAGCTCAATTGTTAGCACTGTCACCTCATAGCAACAGAGGTCTGTGTTTGGCTTCCAGCACCCTCTGTGCAGACAGCCACCATGGGAGCTCTAGTTTCCTCCCACAGTCCAAAGTCATGCAGGTCAGGTGAATAGAAGACTTCATTCTGACTGTAGTCTGAGTGGGTTTGTGTCTGTGAAGGACAACATGTTCAAGGTGCTTTCTTGTCTTCTGCCTGTTGTTAAATTGAAAAAGCTCCAGCTCCTGTGACCTTGACTTGGTAGGCAAATAAAATAAACAATCCCCTCTTCTGCTCTACAAAAATGTAGGGGTTGATGACATAAACTCTACAAATATTTAGGTATTTATTGGATGAAATAATTTTATGAAACAAATTATCCAGGAATTCGTTTTTGTGCCTGGCACACACACAGATTCACAACATATTGGAAACATATTTAGATGTTTAATCCTGTTTAGATTCCCCACTGTCACAGAAAAGTCTCATAAACATTGAGATCAGTGCCCCAGATTCAGTGTCTTGCAGGAGGGCACTTAATCAGAACAGGTGAGTAACTTGTGCTGGCCAGCAAGCTAGCTACCTGAGACAGTTTGGTCCCTTTACAATGAAAGCCAAAAGGTTTTGACCACCCAACGTAGATTAACCTAATACACAAAAGATGTATATTCTAGCCGAATTAAAAACGACTCATCCCAATATCGATGTTGTTTTGTGGACGTAAGAAACCAACACTTTAGCACTAAATTAACGTTAGCGAGATTTAGCTACAACCTATCTTAATAATTAATATGTTGCTATTGCCATTAGCTCGTTTGTTGTTACTTATTGTTTCAAAGCACAATGTCTTACATCATTTGGTTACTAAAAATTGCTTACATTAATAAAAATGTCTAGGTTTAGTTTAGCTTAGAATAGTTAACAAGCTAACTAACTGATAACATTAGCGGAAATGCTATGTTTCCCTGTGGTTGTTATGCTAACATTAGCAAACAATTGTTCGTTTGGTTCGTTCAAGCGCACCTAAGTTTCTACTGGTGTGGTATACTTTTATAACTTATAAGTGAACAAGGACATATTAACCACTTACCATTTCTATAAAAATAACAATATTTTCATGACCCACTGTTGTCGTCAGCTTGCAAACGTTAGCTAGTCGGTGCTATGCTTCGTTTCTATAGTAACTGTAGTGACAAGCCAAGGTGCGTTCAAGAAACGTTGTAACGGTAACTTCTTTCAGGTTTTGGGAATGCAACTAAACTAATGATACAATTAAAATAATTATGGGGGATTGATGTTACTGTAGAAAAAAACAACAAAAGTAACAAGAAATATACAACACGAAATATAGCATTCATATATATTTGGAGTAGCAAGTTGTGGGTAAGTGAATGAGGTAGACGAGTACGGTTAAAGTCACATCTGGAGAAAGCCTGGCTGAATGGTGCTGTAGCCTTGTTCATTTCAGCGACAGAAGTCACAAGAACTGACTCATTCATGAGCTGGTCTGTACAATACCACACATCGTCTGATTCTGAATCATTGCAGTCATTGTGTAATGCGCCATCTAGTGGTGGCCTCACGGAATTGTGGAGGTGGGAATCACCCTAATATTTAAGTTTCGAGTGGCTTTAAACGCATCATTTGAACCTTGTCTGTAACCCGGAACAACAACAAGTCTGAAAAATAACCTGAAGTATTTCATGTACTATATAATACTGTCTGGTAGCAGTTTATTTATTGTGTGTTGAGTGTGAACAAAGTCTAGTCTTGGACATAACGTCAGTGCCTCGTAATTAAAGTGTTTCTCCATGGGTTCTCGTCTAAGACCTTATATGAGTGATAATGGACCTTTGATCCTGGACGGTGGACTAGCAACTGAACTGGAAGCACAAGGAGCTAATTTACAGGTTAGGCATAAAAAATAATTAAAAATATAGTAATCTGCTTCACACCATTAACTTGGGTCTCTATTCGACCACACTGCACAGTTTAATGTCAATGACTACCTGTCTTTTTTTTTTTTAATCATGCAATTAGCACCAATAAAATTATTCTATAGCTACATCTTAACTATGTGAGTCAAATATAGACTAATACACTTTATATATTTAAAACCTGTGCTTGGGAGTTTGTCTAAAACTAACAGGACTGTTACTGAAATTGCTTTAAACTGACTGACTATAATAAACAGGTGCCTGAAATTAAAAGTGCGTCATTTTGACCGTGTAGAGTTAACCAGCCTTAAGAGCTGTGCTTCCAGGGGGTTGGCGAATGATGGGAAAAGAAGACAGACATGGGTCATAATATATTATTGTGGTTTGATAATAAAATGGGGACTTGGCTGATTGGTTACTCCAAATTGATGCAGTAACATGTAAAATGCATTTTAGTGTTGTAGCCGGCTGCTTTAAAACTAATATTACTCATCTTATGTAAAGCTGGGTGATTTAATTTACTATACATGATCATTATATGTCTTGATCTGTAAAGTGTCTTGTAAATGTAGAGGAGAAAAAGTATATAGGAACATAACAATTAAAATACTCCAGTACAAATCTGAGTTACAGTAACTATATGAGATGGAGCCTACTTAGTTACTTTCCACCTCTGGGAAAAGATCTTCATGCTTTTGCTGTTGATGCAGTTTGAATGCACTGGGTGGAGCCACAGGCCACGTGCCCTTTATTCCTGTGTGTGTGGGTTGAGATGCCTCATTCAGCACTCTTACCTTCTGGTGCATGATCTGTGGAGAGTACACTTTTATTTTAGTGAGGTTACTGCGACATAATATGAATATACCACATATATTTTATGTGACTATATTGGGATATAACCAATATAAAGTTTCACATGTTGTTTACATACAATAAATAATCACCATGCTTGTGCTGCACTGGCAACTAATATTTTTGAGACATTTTACGAGTGTATGAGTGTATGATGCCCTGTATCAGTTTCAAATGCAAGAAGGAATCTGATATATTTTTATATCAGTCAAACACATTATTTTGAAAGGTGAAATGTCTGTGTCTTGTATGTCTCCAACAACTAGGGAGATCCGCTGTGGAGCGCCAGGCTTTTGCATACTACTCCTCAGGCCATACAAGATGCTCATTACAGGTAAGTCCGTGTAAAACATCTGGAGTCTGGATGTGAAGAAACGATAATAAAGTGCAGAAAACTTTTTTTTCTTCATTTGGCCACAGGTTCCTCCTTAGTGGAGCTGATGTCATCACCACAGCTACATACCAGGCAAGTATTACAGGATTCATCACTCACCTGGACGTGAGCTCTGAATGCGCCAGAGAGCTGCTGATGTCTGGTGTTCAACTGGCCAAAGAGTCAGTGGAGAGATTTGTCTCTGACAGTCGTCCGACAGGTACAGAACTACACACTCTTTGATATTTTCTGTCTCTGTGATGCTATTTCAATGTGTTTTAATTTTTCTTTTTATCTCTTAAGGGCAGAGACATCCCTTGGTGGCCGGCTCTGTTGGACCGTACGGGGCTTTTCTGCACAACGGCTCAGAGTACACTGGGTCTTATGCAGAGGAGATGAGTATAGAGGTGGGTGGCTCTCAGCACACTCATACTGATTCCACATTAAAGTCATTATTTATTATATAAAGCATTTATATTGCTTGTCATTGGACTTTTAACCTGCTTTTGATGAGTTCAATTTTAATCCTGGTGTAATTACTTGATTATCAGAGACGTCTTTGTTTTCTAAGGAGCTTAAAGTTTGGCACCGGCCTCAGATTGATTGCTTAACAGCAGCAGGAGCTGATCTCATTGCTTTTGAGACAATCCCAAGTCTGAAAGAGGCGGAGGCTCTGGTGGAGCTGCTGAGAGAGTTCCCGAGCTCTAAAGCCTGGCTCTCCTTCTCCTGTAAGGTAACCATTGCACGTGAAGAGCACATTTAGTGTTGATCCACTAGTTTATCAAAATGACTCACGTTTGTAAAAAAAAAAACAACTCTGTCAGGATGGGAGGTGTATATCAGACGGCAGCCCCTTCACAGATGCAGTGCAGATGGCTCACAGATGCACACAGCTGGTCGCTGTAGGAGTCAACTGCTGTTGTCCAGCCGTGGTGGAGCCGCTGCTGGAGTCTGCCGGGTCCCTGCTGAGCCCAGACATGAGCTGGGTGGTGTACCCCAACAGTGGAGAAGACTGGGACACTGAGAGGGGGTGAGTGGGAGTTTTAGTAATAAAGTCACAGCTTTAATAGCTACTGTGTTTTTTATCAACAGATGTGACATGTCAAATTCTTTTTCAACAAAACACTGTACTGTATTTTTTTTTTTTCAAGCTGGCGATGGAGAGACTGAAAACACACTGACACATCTCTCCACATAAAATAATAAAGCAGTAGCTGGTCACATGAACAGTAAAAATATATATATTCAAATGTGAAAGAAAGGCGGGAATAAAATTCTCTAGTTAACGTCTCAAATGGCAAAAAAGTGATATTTGATTGTGGAATAACTGAAATTAGTGAACTATAATTCTTATTCTGCATTTTCTGTTATTGAGACAAAGATCTAATGTGACTTTTAAAAGACACAGACATGGATTAAACTTAACCACGATGTCGAGCAGTGGTTTCATTTCAAAAAGTGACATGGCAATGTGAAAAAAGATGCGTAAATGTTCCTTTTCTGCTTTTACATATTGTGGACAATATGGGGACTTATCTGTTGAAATCTTGTTCATCCTAACTCACGTGAGACAAGATTTGTGAGAGACATACAACTAACTCTGTTCCTGTTTTCATACAAAGGTGGTCAACACCAGTGAAAAAATCAGCATCGATACCTGAGCTCAGTCGTACGTGGATGAAGCGAGGAGCTGCTTTGATCGGTAAGACGAACTGTTTTCTCTTCTTCTGTCCTCATTTTGTTTTTCAGTGCTTTTCTCTGACGAGTCTCTTTGTCCATTAGGAGGTTGCTGCCGTATTGGACCTGCACACATAACAGAGTTACGACAGCAGTTAAAAGGAAGTTGCACGTCTCCAGCCTCTGCAGTGTGACTGGACGGAAAATGTAATGCTTGTTGTAAAGAAAGACGTCTGTTCCAGGAGCTTATAAAAATCTTATTTTATTGTAAAATAAATAAATAAACCACTACATCAAATCCACGTGAGTACACAAAGACATCTGTGTTGGGTCAGGGACAAATGGCAGCACAAAGGTGCAAACAAAAGTGTGAGAACAGATCTCGTCTGAAACTAAACCATGCAGTCTTCACTTTCTGTGGTTCACATTTTGTTTCCGGGTGAATGAGGGATTCCACGATCATCTTCTGTACAGCTCCTGTCTTTTTAAAAACTGGGATCATCTACACAACAGTCTCACTGTAGGTTTCACTAAGCACAACAAAATGTCAGCTGCTTTCACAACACTTTGACTGGACGCTATTTCCACTGAACTAACCACTGTACGTCAGGCGCAACACAAGCCCACTTACTGTACCTGTACAATGAAGTGTGGAGCTGTGTGTGTTGTTAAACAGAATTTACAGCAAATGCATCTTTGTCGTGTGTTTCCTAGACAGCACTAGTTGAATGTAATGTGCACTCTCACAGTATCACTGCAGTCAGTTAAAGATGATATGATATAAACATACTTAAATTCAGAGACACATGTTTGTGATTAGTATTAAGATGACATGAAAATAATCCTGTGGTGTGACTAGAACATGTAAGAACACCTAAACTACCACTTTTGGTTGAAATACATGGGTGGACAAAATAAAAGAAACACCTTATAGTGTGGTGGCCCTTTGAAGCTCACGTTGCCAAAAACCGTGTAAGTTTTGATTCAGTCAACTTCGTGTTTGAGGCCATAGTTCGACGTCTGCTGTCCCTCGTCAGTGAAGTTTTCTTCTGTTTGCAATATGTCATCATGAGTTTTGAGACTTAAAACATTTGAAACTGATGCTCAAGCAATCCAGACAGCAACATCTGTCCTCTGTGCGCCTGCAAAGGTGTCGCATCGCTGCCTCGAAGGTCGACTTACAAAAACAGTAACAGTCAGATCACGATTAAAACTTGTTGCTCACCTCTAAAGAATAATCAATTCAATATGGCTCACTTGTGTAGCTGCCTGTGTCACTGTGCTGGTGCATCAGTCGCAGTCTAATGACATAAATGTGCCAAAAGAAAATCTTTCGAAAATCGCGAGGACCATCAAAGAGGAACAGTAGACCAAAACCACCCTCAAAAAAACACTGAACAACGCTACGGCCTCAAAGTGACAGTTGGGTTGAATCTAAATGTGACGTTAATTCAGCAACATTAAAGGAGAAGTCTGGTGATATTCTATATTTTTCTTGTTATTAACAAAATACCACAACTAACAATGAATGTATCCAGCTAACGAGCATTACATGTGTATGCAGAGCCTGGTGTCTCTGTATCTATTGTCCTAATATATTGAAAACACATCCGTGAGACGCGCTGTTGCACCGGTATTATGCTGCAGGAAATCCTCACTAGAGCGCTGATTGTGTATTAATCCACCGCAGAAAATAGTCCCCTAATAAAATTCACAATTTACTCCTCTTTGAATATTGTTTTTCTAAAAGCTACAGTGCCAAGCTGCGTTCGGACATTATTTAGCATTTTTGTTAAATGAAACTATATATTTGTGATACATTTTTGAGGATTTACGTCGTCGGTAGGAACCAGTGGGCTTGTGTAAGTGCTACAGACAGGGTAGAGGGGTCAGAGAGTACAGACAAGAGTGAAATACAGAACAATACCAGACTTATTCTTCAAATGTATCTTAAGGCTACTGTACTGTGTTACTTTGTCCTCCCACTGTATGTGCCGATAAACCTCTTCAGTCTGCGATGTCTTCTTCCAGATCGCTGCCGGGGGAGCTCTTCTGTCTGTACTCCGTAGTGTTGGACATGCGTTTCCAGCTGGTGTCTTTCTGGCTTCCCATACTGTGTGAGCGTCCCAGGTGGGCCAGGCGCTTGCTCGACGTCCTCTCCTCCGTGTCCTCTGAGGCGCCGCGTCCGTGGGCTCGCTCCGCGCCGGAGTGGTGGAAGTCGTGGCGCAGGTTCTCCAAATTCAGAGCCCAGGGGCCGAGCTTCTGCCAGTTCACCCTCTGGAAGGCCATGATGCAGTGCAGGTTGCCACCCACCTGTGAACCAGGGGACGTGTTTTAGTGCTCGTGTGTTCACATAAAAGAGCAACACTTAAATTGACAGATGTGAGAAGAGGAACCTTTTTGGTCTTGCGGCGTTGAATCCCCCTCTCTGTGTGACGGATGTCCAGGTAATCTGGATTCTGTGTGTTGAGGTCGGTCACGATGTCCAGCCATCTGAGAGGAGAGCTTTAATATTATTCCACTGAACAACAGTGCTGATTAAAAAAAAAGGTAGAAGCACAGAAACAGAACTTACTTTTTACAGTGAATCGCTGGGTGTTTCCTGCTGGGCTCCCCAATCAGGATCCAATGCTCCATTTCATTTGTGGGTAGAGGGCCCCTTCGCACAGCAGAGAACATGCATCAGCTTATAAACTCTTTAGAGCTGAAACAAGTTGATTAACTGATTAGTCAATCAATAGAAAAATATTCAGCAACTATTTTGGAAGTCGATTAATCGCTTTTTCCATTTCCAAGCAAATATGAATTGTAAACGTTCTCTCGTTCCAGCGTCTCCTGTGTCATTATTTCCTGCTGTTTCATATCATTATGAAAGGAAATGTTTTTGGATTTTATACGGATAGTTGAACAAAACAAGACTGATAATGATATCCCTCATTTCACATAAAGATCCATAAACCTGCTTAGAAATCATAGAGGAAAGATGCTCCTAGTAACTCCAGAACTTGCCTGAGAATCATCCCGTGCACATATTACACTTTTGGAGTTTTTGTCTTTCCTTTAGTGTGTTGTTCCTGTATCATTTAAAAAGTTCTGCTGAGTTACAAAGCCCAAAGAAAACACTGCTCCTGAAGTGGCTGAAATGCCTCGTATGTAACTTATCTACATCACTGTTTTAACAAATTCACATACTTCACGTCTGCCAGCTCGTTAAACCTTAAACTTGGATGGTTGAAGTCTGGTTAGTTTCAGCCTGTCACCGCGTAGAGAAGACGCAGTTTTTCTGTGCAAACACAAAGTCTCTTTGCATACTAATAACGGACGGTGCAGGTTTCCTATAGAGTTGTTTGGCGACAGCAGAACAACATTTTACCAGCAACGTTAGCTTTGGTATTTCCTGGCAGCAGACGTTTCCACTTCAGTTTCCCACAAATACAGGGACATTTATAGAAAGAAACAAACATACTGATTGTGATTGAAAGACTAAATCCCCCCTTGTGTCACACAATAAGCAGGTAATGGCCGTAACATTAACTGAACAGAGACGTCCTGCTGTAATCTTTGTTGTGCTGTCAACTCTCATATTTCAGGCTTGAACGTGTACGGATGGATTTGAGAAGCTGCCAGTTTTATTACTTAGTTTTACAGTTTGCTTTCAGAGGACTCAGTGCTGCCCCTCAGCACAAGTTTGGCCAAAAAGGGGCTTTTAAAAGAGGCCGATATTTCCTTTTTGAGTCATCGGCAGTATGAGATAAATAAGAGCTTTCTTTGAACTGTGAATCATGCAAAGCTGCTCGAGTGAAGCTGGAAAGGAGCATAACAGGTCGCCTTTAAGTTTTCCTTCAGTGTCAAATAATCCAGTGCAAACAGGAACAGCTGATAGCTAATTCAGCATACTTTTAATTGTGCTGAAATGTGAAGAAAACCATGCAAAAAAAAAAAGGGGGGGGGGGATCAAGTTGTAGCCGACAGCTCTCTAACTGACTCAAGGGCAACATTATACTTCCTGTTTACATCCTCAAAAGAATTATTGGAACAAAAACTAACAAACACAAGTAAGAAGTGTGTTTCTCAATTGTGTCTGAAAACCCGTGAGCTAAACGTCTAATCAGTCATTCACAACAATAATCACCTATAATGGAAAACAAAGGGCTTAAACTGCAGCGATGCGACTTACCTATAAGCCTTTGCTGCTTTGAGTGGCGTGGCTTCAAAGCCCACCGGGCAGAAGTAGTGGTTCTGGCAGTGGTAGATGTAGGCCATAGTCTCATCCTTCAGCCCTTGTGTCAGTTTCATCAGCGCTCCTTCAGCTAAACAGATCAGAGCGGTTATCACTTTTGCTTTAGCTCTTCATGAACAGACCTGCAGGCGAGTTCGGGGACTCACCCGTCTCTCCTGCTGTCTTGTGTTTTCCGTGTGGTTTGTACAGAATGTAGGAGCAACCTCGCACTCGGAAGTTGTCATTGATTTGTCTGAACCACCTGTAAGACAGACGCACTGATTGCACCGAGCTGCGTACATTTCCTGAAGTCCGGTGATTATTTACACATGCTAAAGGAGCAGTTTGTTTACCGCATCAGAGTAGCGTTTCCTGTGAAAGGACCAAACTTGATTTCTTCAAAAGGCGGCTGAAACCCCAGAATATGCAGAGCCTCCTCCTGAGAGATGGGTGGAAGACTAGAAACACAGACAAATGTTCAGTCATCAGAAAGTGATAGCAGCCAACAAATCCAAAACAGCTTAAAGAGCACCGGCCACCCGCCAGTCGTAGCTCGTTGTGCTGTTGTCGTCTCTTTTTAGACTCTTCTTGTGTGTATTTTTTAGCTAATTGTACGATATTATAAACTCTATAAACTCTTTGTGCAACACATTAGTTTCACACCCTGTTTTGAACCTATATCAAACTGCATTGTCCCAACAAATAAATAAACTGAACTAAAACTAAACTGAACAGTCACTCACTCACTGACCATCGACTTGTTTTAAGGGTTTTGTATTTTCTGACTGACAGACAACAGAGTGTTGTAGTGAACGGCTGTTTATCTGGAGCTGCAGTAACAAGGACGGGCTCGCCTCAAGGGTGAGGGAAATCTAATCGCCTTTATTTTTCATCATGTTGACTGACGGCTGCGGAGGCTGCAAGGACCGTAGCTTACATGACGACACTGCACTGCGGTCTCTCCTTCACAGTCCAGAGCAGGACCGTGCCTGTGCTCTCCACACTTTTGTAAAGTGGTGCGATGAAAATTTTATGTAGAATTGATTGTATCAAAAAGCAATGAACTAATTGCTGATTTTAGACAAACTCAGTTAAAAACAACTTAATCTTTTAACCTTTTCTTTTATTTACTGGTCTGACAGAGACAGAAACAGCCTCAACGTTAATGTTAAGATCTGTCCAAAGATTATTGGCGATCTGACTTCATTTTGTGTCGAGGAGGGAAAACAATGAGCGCACTGAACCTTCCTAAAGACGTCACAGCAGGTGAGTTCTCGTTGCTGCGTTCAGGACATCAAACCCACTCGAAGTGACCTGACTTGAACTGAGTGTCACATGAGCCGTATTTCTACATGAAATCTGACAGAAGACAGAATGTGCTGCTCACCTTCCTGCTCCCAGCGTGCTGTATAAGAAGTTCCAGCAGGACACCAGAGAAGAGATTCCACATGAAGTCTTGTACTGAGGCCGACTGATGCAATACCTGACACACAAAGTAATACACAAATCCACAGATTAAATTATATCACATTCATCATGTGATGTAATGTTGTCATTTGCAGTATTTGGTCTGTAAAGAGTAGCAGCTGTAAACGATATGTTTTTTTTACTATTTCTGCCCTGATGAGGCTGAATAAAGGTTTTAATATAACTCCTGTCCTTGCTCTGAGTAAAAGTGCCGGAACAGCACTCTCTTTTGTGATACTTTCTTTTTACATTTTCAAGTACGCCTTCAGGTTTCCTCCTGCTCCTGCATGTGTAACACAGTGAGCGCTTGGCCTCCTCGTTTTTCCATGAATCATTATGTACTGAAAAGGATTCAGACGGATCTGCCACAGGCGAAGGTGAAGCTCACTTTAATGCGTTTTTCTTTTAAAACTTTTGAAGCACTAAAAGTGACTTTACCATCTTCTGAGGTCGAGCACTTTTCTCTGTTTGATCTCCTCCAGTGAGGCATGAGGGGAGACGTCTTGCAGGTTTCGGCTGGGTCTGTCTGATGACTTCATCTTCTTGGTGCTGCATTTCTTCGTATTGCCTGAAACACAGTGTTAGTCACTAAAGGATGTGCCAGGATTTAAAGCATCCAGCAATTAAAGACCAGATAAACGGTCATATTCTTTCCTGTTTAAAACAGAAATGGCAGCTTTGGGTGATGACTGAACCGTCAAGGTGAATAATTCATACCAAAGACTTCAATAATGAGGAATGATTTTTCTTACTTGTTCTTATTTTTCTAGTAAGCACAGCATCGAAGTCTGTTGTATCAATCTCCCAGGCCAAAATAGGCTTAGTGTTTCCAGAAGACACTTCCTCCATGTCACAGTCCCCGTCTGATCCCACATGGGCCCCTCCGGTCAGACCAGCGCTGAAGTCAGCTGAGGATTTGGGCTTCACCAGCGGCGGCCCGTCGTCCTGCTTCTTCTGGGCCACGTCTCTGGCTGTGTTTGGAGGACAGTACACGGAAGCGGCCTGGTTGAGGAAAGCATAATCAGAGCAGACTGTGTAGAACTTCTCCCGGGAGTGAGTGACCGGGCAGGTCCACGGCAGGTGCAGCTCGGCGCTCGATGCCCTCCTTACTCTGGCAGCGTCCCGGGCGAGGGAGCTGAGCAGACCGTGGTCCTCCTCCCCATCAGTGGTCCTTTGCAGCCCTGACGGCTCTGGTGGCCCGGATAGGTTTGCCCCTTGACCTTCTGATGTATTAGGCATTGAACTGCCACTTGTATGGTGTGTGGGTGAGAGAACTGGCTGAGGCTGATTGTGATGCTGAAGTGATGGCTGTCTCCTCTGGGAATGAAAGGACAGGCATTTTTAGAAACAGATATAAAGGGAAGACGTAGGGGAGGCGCAGTGACACAGAGTCCCAACACTGTGAACTCAGGGGGGGGGGACATCTGATCTCATAAACAATCTTTAGACAAGGGTTTTCAAAGTCACAACCCTGACTGTCTTTGTTTTAACTTCCAGCGACATTAGACAACATCAGACAACATTACCTTTGGCCTATAGTAAGTCACCTATTATAAGTGGCTCTTATTATTAAACATTAACTAACATTTCACCTGCGAAGCCGCTTTGGTCCAGATGAACACACAGCTACATCAGGGCTGTATTGTAGTTAGCCGATGTCAACACGCCCAGCTGTTACGTTAATTTTCCCATCATACCGTGCGCAATGTCTCACGACTGAACGGGGCTGTGGGTTGGCAAAACGTCAAACTAACAACATATCGTTAAACCTCGGTGGACATTAGCCTGGGACCTGTTAAAAATGAACCATAAGGGTCCCGAGACGCCGTCCTCCTGACCCGTATCCTCTTCCTGTGCAGGTTTAACGGACCGTACCATTCCGAGTAACAAACGGGGTGTCCTAAAAACAAACAAACAAAACAAATAAAGCTGGGTAATTTCATAAAAACACTCAAGTGAAAGACAATGTCAAATACAAACTGTATTTCGCTTATTTAAGACATTTTATTGCATTTTATTTAATTCACTTTGAAAACCTATGTCACTTCCTTAGCGGCTACACACCCGTGTAAGGAAACAATGAAATGATCCTACAATTCAAACCAATCACAGGAGCGGCTTCTGCGCCCCTTTAAAGTTTACTTCACAGACTAGAGGTAAGTGTGTTCACTTTAATCCTTAAAAAAGCTAAAAACGATAACTGCGCTGTATATCTGACAACTTAAGGCGAGACACGGTAGGTGACAACAGCGTTTTTCCAAGCGCTGATCAATTTTGAGATTTTGTGATATTTTGCTTCCTTTACATGTCTTCTTTCATGCTAGTAAAAAAAATATGGTCAAAATACACATTTAGGTGTTCATTTCACTCCACTTTGTCCGTGATGCGCCTGTAGATTTCTCCTAAATTCACTAAAAGTCAGCTTTTTGAAACTGCGCGAGGCTCCGCCAGCCTCGTCTGTGCCCTGTCATATGTGGTGCCGTTGGAAAGCTCTATTTCCCCTGCACGTCTGTCAGATCCAAATATGGGCATATCCGTTGTATTAGCAACCAATCATGAAAGTAGAAAGGCAGGTCTGAAGCTAAACTCAACATCTCATTGGTTGGTGACGGTTTCTGACAACGTGATTGGTTCAGAAGCGTCATGTGACTGGCTGCGCTCCGCTGCTCTCTTCCGCGGGGTTTTAGAAATGCCGGGCAAGCCGCGAATAAAGACTTCTAAAAGAAGACAAAACCAACTAAAATACGCACGAAAACATCGGAGAAAGACAGATGAAGGAGAGGAGAAGGGAAACCCGACCTATGTAAGTTCATCCGGCCATAAGTTGTCCTTAGGACAAGGCAACGAAGGGGGAGACGAGTACGTGTCTCAGCAGTGGCTTGTCATTCACGTTTCACGTCTGAATGAACTGACAAGTGATCTGATCTGTCCAGTGTGTGGGAACACGGGCCTGAAAATAAAAATAGATTCAGAAAACCAAGGCTTCTGCAGTAACCTTCTGCTGGAGTGCGGTCTGTGTGAAAGTAGTGATCGATACAGAAAAGGTGTTTACACCTCCACTCGTCTCCATGCAGAAACGCGCAAGAATGTTGCGTTTGACGTGAACGTCAGGATGGTGCTGCTGGCACATGAACTTGGGCTGGGATATGCAGCGCTAAATAAAATCTCAAAAGTGTTGGGGATCCCTGGGCTTCACATAAAGACGTACCAGAGACACGACAAAAAAGTGAAAGGTGTGTGACATTTTTGCATTGTGTGTATGTGTGTGTGATATTGATGAAATAATAATAAAACCTGACCAGACAAAGATAAGCAGCATCACACACTCTACATTTCATTTCAGTTGCAGAAATTGAGAGAGGGCTACAGTCGCTGCACAAGGCCAGGGAGCAGATCAGGCAGGCATATGCAGATGTAGACCCAGATGTGGCGGAGTTGCTGAGGGAGGATGCAGATACAGTCCCACTATGGGATTGGTGTGTGCATTGACCTGCTCACAGGACTGGTGATAGACTATGAGGTCTTGTCTTCTTATTGTCATGCTTGTGCCCTGAAAGAAAGTGCAAAGCAACAGAAAAAAATGACAGTGCAGGAGTTTGACAACTGGAAAGAGGGACACAAGGACTGTGCTAAAAACTTTGCAGGCTCAAGTAAGGCAATGGAGAAAGAGTCAGCGAGGAGGATGTGGACCAGTACTGTGACTCGCCACCAATTGCGTTACACTGAAATGCTGTCAGATGGTAACAGTACAGCATACGGGGAGGTTGTTGCACTGAACCCATACAATGGGCATGAAATTGTCAAACTGGAGTGCATCAATCATGCCCACAAGCGGATGGGCACAGCACTAAGAAAGTTGAGTGCAGAGGCTAAGCTGGGAGGGAAGGGTGTGGGGAAGTTGACTGCCAACAAGTGTAAAACCCTGCAAAATTATTACAGAGGAGCAATTCTCAATAACCAGGGCTCACTTGATCAGATGAAGGCAGCCATATGGGCAGGTCTCCTTCATGTCATGTCCACTGATGACAACCCCCTGCACACCAGGTGTGATCCCTCCTGGTGTTGGTACAGGAAAGCAGAGGAGAATGGGGAAACACCTGATAGCCATAAACGCCATGCTGGAAATTTTCTAGCACGAGAGGTGGGCAGGAAGCTGATTCCAGTGTACCACCGCATGTCCAGTGACAGCCTGCTACAGCGGATGCAGCATGGAGGCACGCAAAATGCAAATGAGTGTCTCAACTCCGTTATATGGGCGCGGTGTCCAAAAACGGTGTTTGTGGGGAAAACCAGACTCGAGGCAGCAGCAAGTATGGCCATCTCCACTTTCAATGAAGGTGCCTCTGCCATGATAAGTGTAATGGAGAGGTTGTGGCTTCAGAGCACACATGTTACCATCAGTGCAATGAGGGAAACTGATACGCTCAGAGTATCAAAAGCTGAGGCCATCGCAACTGCAAGTGCAAAGCGTAAGCGCAAGAGTCTGAGCACAGCTAAAAAAGTGAAAAGACATCAGCTAGAGCTGAGTGAGGGGCCGACATATGGAGCAGGCATGGACAACTAGCCTGGCATGACTGGCTGACATAGTTGTGCAGGACAGACAGGTGTGTGTGTGTGTGTGTGTGTGTGTGTGTGTGTGTGTGTGTGTGACTCTTACTGTGTTACCTGGTTTGGACTCAGCAGTTTTTGTGGTTCTGTTCAGGTGAAGTTTATACATTGAATTATAAATGTAGATGATGAATGATTTAGTTGAAATAAGGATGTAAATAGGGCAGACATGCTGTTTTTCAGTAATATATTCATTTCATTGTACCTGTACAGGTAAATAAAGATCTTAATGTAAAAACAGATCGTATGTTAATAAGCCATTGTCTCATAATCAGTCTATGCCTGTTATAATAGTTATAGTTATAATATTAAGTTATAATATGTAACTTAAAATGTTTTCAGCATTTCTCAAACTGAGAGAAATACGTGATTTTAATGGGTTATTTTTTTAAATTTGACTTTTGCAGAAGACCATGGCAACGAAACTGGTGATCATCGACACAGACTGCGGCATAGATGACGCCCAGGCCATCATGATGGCGCTGGCAGCACCTAACATTCAGATCCTGGGCGTCACCTGCGTGTTTGGGAACGCAGCAGTTGAGAACGTGTGTCAGAACGTTTTGAGGGTTCTCTCCGTCTGTGAGCGAGAGGGGGTAAGGTCACTGAAGCTATTACTACATTCATTCATACAGGATTGACTGTTCAACACTTTCTAACTGATATTAATTTATTTATTATTTTGTCGTTTCCTTCCAACACAACCTGTGTCACTATATGGCAGTTTTCTGATCTGCTAAATCTGAAGTGAAGGTTTGGATTGTGCAGCTACCTGCTGTGGTGATAAATTCAGCATATATACTGAATGTCCATTAATTCACATTTTTCATAAACATAAGAAAATATTTTCTTGACTCTGATTTTCTACTTAATGCTTGAGGTGTTACAGCATCTGTGGTCGTTGCAGCAGTGTAAATATGCAGTAATGAAGGGAAGAAGTGGAAGCAGCCTGCAGTTTAGTCTAATACACTGTCCTACTATTGCTGTTCTTTTTGTTGTGTTGTTGCCATCTGCTGGGCTGGACCAGTGGAGCAGGTAATGACTCACATTGTGGTAATAGAGAAGTGTGTCTCTTACTAACACAAATATTAGATCTACAGACCGGCTTAAATTTGCTGCTTCTCTAACGATGAGCTTCAATTATTGATAGTGTGAGAAAGACAAACAGACACAGTGTCGCTTTTATGAGGTCTTGTTTGACTACTCATGAATCCCAATGTTTTATTGGGTCATTTACACCAATATATTGGATGCAGGAGGAAGCTAGTGCTGAATATTGCTTGGGACATGGCCCACAGGAAAGAGAATACAAAATACACAGTTTTTTTGCGGTTAATTTTATACTGTACAGCTTTATGACCAAACTTCAACTTCTTTTTTTCCATTTTAAATATATAATAATATTAATAAAAATAGTAATATTCATGAAGTTTTGTGGCTGGTGGGGTGCTTGACGTCACCCTCTATGAACGGCCATTACTGGTTCCATGCTATTCATATTAGCAAGAGGACGCTGTCAGGAAAATGTAAACATAGGTTTTTTATTAGCATCTTAACAAACAGCGAACGAGAGCGAACTGGTGAAAATAAACTCAGACCTTTTTTTTCAACAAATGAGAAACAACAACACAAACCCGTAGACGCCCAAAGTGCCACGGTTCCATACTAAAGATAATATCTTGGGAACAGGAAGTCAGATTTATGGCACCATGACATTGTGGGCCACTTGTCTGAGATAGCAGGGTGGTTTTTTTTTGTTTGCTCATTGGTGGGTTATATTTAAAGATCCCATCCAGTGTAAAGGTCTCTGTCCATGTGTAGTGTGATTATAGATCAGGTCTAGCTTCTATATTAACACTGTGAAAGTATCAAAGCCTCAGTCCACAGAGAAATGCACACAGCCTGTATTCAGAAACTGAGCCTTAAAACCAGCCGTCAGGACTTCTGGAACTTTGTGATGTCACAACAAAGCAGTTACCAAGCCCCGCCCACCTGGACCCACCATCCAAACCTTGCAGGATTTGGTTTCTCTGAGTGTTTTTACCTGAAATCTGCTTTATTTTTATTGGATCACTCAGAAAACAGTCAGCCAATCAGAAGAGATGCTCAGAGCCTCCTCTCTTCTGATTGGCTCACCGACCTGTTGTTACTAGAGCTCCAGAGAGAAGCCTGAGAGAGGAGATGTAAAACTACACTGAGATGGTTTTTGGTTCTTGAAACCACAAATATATCTTCTTATGGATCAACACTTCAAAATAAAAGACAGGAAAAGAGTAAAATACGGGACATTTTACGAATCTTGTTCTAGATCTTTGACGACTTCATCCTCACTTCAATGCACACAAGAAGTTAACAGCTGTGGTCATGTGATTATTAACACTAAACAGGTAACGCTAATTAATATAAAATAAATATTGTACTTATTAATTTGTATTTGTAAATGTATAACCTGCAAAGTAGAAACGTTTTATTGGTCACTATTGTGTTCAGTGGGATTAAATGGGTTAATTAAAAAATGGTGACATTTTGTAATAAGGAAACATGAGCAGCCGGGTTTATGCTTTAATAGTTCACAAGAAGGAGACGTCTAATAATTACGCTGGACCGAATCTGTGTCAACAAATCCCACTGAGCAGAACTCTTTGTTCCTCAGATCCCAGTGTTTCGAGGTTGTGGTGGTCCTCTGGTCGGAGACAGTAACTCGAGTAGTGACCACTTTGGAGGTGATGGACTCGGAGATGTGATCACAGACAAAGATCCACAGTGGGAGGAGAAACTCCAGAGGGAGCATGCGGTCAATGCAATGATTAGACTGGTGTCTGAAAACCAGAACCAGGTGAGAACCAGCCTCTCTGTGGTGTGTCTGTAATCTTTGACGACTGGAGGAATACAACTATTAATTTCTAACAACCATCCATCGCGCCCTCTGCTGTTACTGAAACGCGCCTCCACAGGTCTCCCTGGTGGCCCTCGGCCCGCTCACTAATCTGGCTCTGGCCGTCAGATTGGATCCAAGTTTTCCTCAAAAGCTCAAACATCTGTTCATCATGGGTGGAAACATGGAAGGTGACAAACTCCACGACATGAATACAGTGATTGTATTTGAGACATTCAGCCGCGTATAACCTGCTTTTGTCTTTGTAGGAAAAGGGAATTTGACGCTATGTGCAGAGTTTAACTTTGCATTGGACCCAGAGTCTGCCCACATTGTCCTTGAAGACTTTCTGTGCCCTACACACATTGCATCATGGGAATACTCGTGCAGAAACGCACTGACATGGGTAAGATGTGTAGAACTACACACACAACCGTGTATAACGACTATCTCGCTTTACTCTGATCTCACTGCTTTCGCCTGTGCAGGAGTTCTTTGAGGAGCTGATGAATCAGGACGCACCTGCTGCACGCTTTATGAAGACGATAACATCTAAATGCTGGGCCTACTCCAAAGAGGCTATGAAGACGAAGAGGGACGTGTACTTCAGACCTGGCTTCGTCTCTTATGACGCCTATGCGATGGCGGCCTGCATCGACGGCAGCGTGGTGACAGAGAGCATCGAGTGTCCTGTTCGTGTGGAGCTGCAGGGGTCGATGTGTCGCGGCATGATGGCTCTGGATCGCACTAATAAGCTAAAGAAGAGTCACAGTGTGTTTGTTATGTCTAAATGTGATGTGGCCAAGTTTAGTCAGCTACTAATGGAGTCTCTAAGACAACCGTGTAATAAATAATCTTTGGTGTATTCAAGGAAAATAGATATGTCTCATACACTGGTGAGAAATAACACAAATTTAGAGCGAATGGTTTCTTGAGTATGACCATGATGTGAATCAGATGCTGTGACCTTCAGTTAGAAATGAAGAAGACGTTAGACAGCGCTCTCCACCACCATCATTCACGCAACAAACGAGGGAATATCTTTTAGAAGAATGGTGTTCATCTCTCCAGTAGAGACTCCACAGACACAGAAGCTGTTTTTAATGTTTTTGTCACCAATGTGTAAGTGTGTAGATGCAAATGGAATCAAATCACAAAAAACAAGATGTTTTGCAGAAATCCTTTATTTAAATTTGCTGACAAAAAAAAAAAGGATACCATACAAACCTCAAACTTAAAGTACTCTTTTATTACGTGACCAATTTATTCTCACAGAAGGCTTTGATAGTTTCAGGGCAGAGCCCATTTTAAAATGGGGAACATGAAGCTTTCTGGGCCATTGGTGTTCTTAAGAATCACGTGTCAGATTATGAAAGATCTCTGCTGCCAAATAAAAGTCTAGCGCAATGATTCAAATCCAAATTTATCCAAATTTGACTTTTCAAACCAAGTTTTATAAGAAACCAATAAGATGCAAAATGATTGTGAAAACAGGATATGGCTTAAAATAAGATGTCTGTTCCAACATTAATACTGATCTGTGCAGAGACTGCGCCATGTTTCAATCTTTGAGAAGGAATGCAGCATCACCAGCCTTTTCTATATCAGCAAAAAATGTCTGCATTGGTATTAGCATACCATGCTATCAACATTTTTAAAGTAGGGGGCACCTGTTAAAACAAATCCAAATAAAAGTTAGCATTTCTGGCCCCATGAATAAAAAGCTGCAGAGAACTATATTGCACGGTTGGTAACCTAGAGCACTGGGCTACCAAACGTTTCAGGTAACGTTGCTTTCTGTTGGGATTCTCCGTTTAAAAATAAGAATTTAATTCAGCGCACAGAGTATATCAAATCCTTGACATGTCTCTGTTAAGTGCCATCATGTGCCGTTTAACTGCCGTTGTCAGGGGAGCTAGGCCAGGGCTCTGAGCTACGCCTGCTCAGGGTGGGGCGCCACATGCTCCACGGGTTGTAGGTCCGACTCATCTCAGTAGAAGCTGGTGGCGACGGGGCGGAACTGTTGCCCAGACCGGTCAGAGCTGTCGTGTTGGTCGTCGGAGCAAAAGGGTGTAAGGCTGAATCTGCGCTCGTAGACCAAATGGAGCTGCCGAAGGGTGTGGTTGTAGACCAGGGGTTGCGGGTGTTTCCCAGGAGTGACTACACAAAAAAAAGAGAGAAGAAGCTTCACAATAGTAACATGAACCGGAAGGTGGATCTGGGAGCTACATCGACACCAAATAAGGGATCTTACTGCAGTCGGGGCGGTGGGTGAGCTGGAGTTGCTGGGCCAGGAGTGCAGGGAGTCACTGTTTGGTATGTCCCAGATGGAGGAGGGTACGGTGTTGAACTCAGGCCAGCTCTGCTGAGGCTCAGACGATTTTGGGAGATTCATTCCACTGAAAACTAGACCAGAAAACACAAACACACTTTAGCCAGTCAAGTAAGCCAGTCTCCACATTGTTGTGTTTGTTTGTGACCAGCCACACAGGTTACCTCCTGTCAGGTTGAAGGAATTGTTGGGCCCAAAAGCGGAGAACGAGTTGGCAGAATGGTAGTTTGGACTGCTGGCCGTGTCAATGGGACTCCATAATCCAGAGCTATGGGAGGAAAAAGTATACAAACTCAGCTGGGGTCATATCTTGACGTCACGTCTGGACGTCTATTTCGTCTTTTCCCTCACATTACCTGTCAGAGCTGTCACTTTCCACTGAAGTCATGTGAGCCAGACTCTTTCCTTGGCTGTCAGTTTTACCTGGACCGGAGCCGCCTGACGAGACAAACACAGCATTAGTGTAAACGAATCACCGTGAGAACGATGTGAACGTTTCCATCCAGTGTTTGTCGTTACATATTTACCTGGGCTCTTGTCATAACCAGCAGCTACAGCGGCAAACGTGGGGTTCCCATTTTTGCCTGGGAGCGGAGTGGCTGTAGACAGTTTATTTCCCGGGGCCTTCTTCTGGTGCCCCTCACTGCAAAACACGTCAGAAACACACAAGCAATCCGGATCAGGTTCAGGTGTTAGTTAAAATGTCATGACATGGTATTTAAACAGCATAGATCTCAGTGTCATCTGTATAACAATGGTACTGAACCTTTTGTGTGCAGATAATGTGAACAACAGTGGGCCAAGGACAGAGCTCTGCGGAACACTGCACAGTAAAGATCGGTCTATAATAGTGATTTGTTCAGTGCTGTTTAAGTTTCTTACTCAAGAATGCTATTTAAGTACATTTGGGAAAATAAAGTAAAGTTAATTATGTTCTAAATTAATTTTTTCTCTCTTACAAAATAACAAAAATCACAGATAAGAGTACCGTTAAAATACCTGATCAATAAGTGCTATTGATAAACGTAGTAGTACTGTTAAAATCTAAACGATACCCAGAGATTTTCTGTATATAGTCGTGAGAGACCAGGTGCTGTTTGGCTGCTATCCCACGCTCAGTTATCTTTAACTTATATTGTAAAAACACTTAGACACAACACTTTTTGTTTTGAAATCTGAAATGTTTAAGGTTTAGTAAATGTGCAGTGTTTCCAAAGTCAATAAGTAATCTAGACTACCTGATTACTATGAGCATTTGTACAGAAATTATTCTGTCCCAAGCTTTTTCATCCATATAAGCTGTTGATCACTGCAGGTTTCCACTGTGTCTAAAATTTAAAAATTTCCTTAGAAATGGGAACGTGTTTAAGGCCAGAAACCAGCGGAAAGAAAACCATTTACAAAGGTTAAAAAAATGACAGCAACAAGAAATCTAGTAGGAAAAAAAATGAAGGGCTTGATTTGAATTTAGCATCTATGTCCCTTGAAGAGCACAGAGGAGGACAGTCACATGATATCAGGCTCCTGATCTGTCTTATGTTGTTGAAGAAGCATAAAAACTTTTCACAAACGACAGAATTTATAGTTTTAAAAAAAGGACCTTGGTGTTGTGACAGTTTCTGGAAATGATGCTGGAGAAACAGGAAGAGCTGACTGTTTCATTAGTGCCGTTAAGTTGTGCGTTCGACCACCAGTGGATACCTGTTGCTGTTGAGCACACTGCTGTAGGTGCCGCGGGACAGTATGCTGGGGGAGGTCGGCGGAGGGGAGCCGGTCCCGGCTGTGGCCGATCTCTTCAGGAAAGGGTCTGCGTTTATAGTCTGGAGGGAGATCTGCTGCAGACTATCTGCCTCCGCTTGAGGAGAACAGGAGAGCGCACAGTGAATATTTGAAACGGGCACGAGAAGCACAGTCAGCTGACATGACGGGACGGTGTCGGGGGGGTCTCCACTTACGGATGCTGTTTTTTGTAAGAGGAACATCCCACTCCGGAGAAGCAAAGTCCTTCTCGCCCTCAGAGCTGCTGCTGTGGCCCGGTTCAGGCACCGAGCTGCTGGACAGGAGTTTGGCCAACAGAGACGGACGCCCGTCCTCCAGATTCCCATCTACTGCCAAAACAAACGTGTCAAACACATCTGGTATCCAGACAAAAGGCAAAGTGACGACATTAAGAAGAACAAAACTCACATCTTTGCTTCTGCAGGGGTTTCGTCTTTGGGATGGCGGCGAGAGGGTGGAGATTTTTGGATGTGAAGCTCTTACGCTGTTTGTTCTCCAGCGGCGTCACATACGGCAGCTCCAGAGAACTGAGGACAAGAGATCTTTGTCAAAAAGAGGATAGAAAAAAAACAAAAGACAAAATGACATTTTAATTAAAAGCAAACCTGGATTTTTCTGCTTGGGCCTCTTTCTTTGTGGTTCCTTGCTTCTTGGTTTTGGGCTTGATTGAGAAGTTTGAAGTTTCTTCTTTCACATTTCCAGCGGTTACCGTCCTTCCTTTCTTTTTCACTGGTTCCTGGAAGACATGATGGGAAACGGGTTTTAATAAAATCCATAACTTTAATACGTACAACAAGAGAGTTAATGTGAGATGGACAACGTCATTATTATTTACCTCTCTGATGTTTGTCTCCACATCTGGATTGGAGGTCTCTGTCGTGGTGGAGGAGCTGTCGTCGTTGTCAGCCAGGTTATCTTTCAGCTCGTCTCCCTGAGTCTTTCCTGTTGATTTCTTCTCCTTCTCTTCCTTCTTCCTCTGGGCTTTTGTTTTACCCCGCAGCTTCCCTTTGGATTCCAACACTGTGCAAACAATAACAACACCAGTGTTAACCTCAGAGGGGCATCTTGCAGAAGACACCTGTAACCATGGTAACTACACAAAGAAGGTGACAGCTGTAGCCTCAAAACACTAAATGTAAATGTATGTAGAAAAGGAGACGGACATGTCTCATTTTAAAAATCAAAAATGTTAAAAAAGGATAAAATAAATAATAAAAATCAACTAAAACTAATTTGTGTTTTCTGTCAAAAGACGGATGCGCAGGTATTCTCGACCTGTGAGTGGTTACAGAGACCCGTGCTGTAAGAACCTGTGTACCTTTGTTTTGTACGGACTGCTCCTGTAGAGCCTCGGCACTGAGTGACTCTGGACGGTCGAGGTCGTTGTCCATGGCTCCTATCAGGTTGGCGTATTCTGCTTCCTCAGGGCAGAGGCTTCTGTGAGGCAGCGACGACACGGGTAAAGTTTGATTCTGGAGGTCCAGTTGTTTGGTGCTCCGAGCCTTGCGGTTGGTTAGCTGGCAGGCGGCTGGAGGACCTTCTTGGCCTGAGGTTGTACTTCCTTTGGTCAGCTGGGAGGAAGTAGCTTGCATAGGTGGGCGGCTGAAGCCGATCCTGGACCTCTTGTCTTGGCTGTCGGAGTCTGATATGGTGCGGCTGTTGGCCTGTCGGCCTCCAGGCCGCGCTGCTCCGTTGCTGGACGCATACAATCCTCTGGAGTTCTGGGGTGAGTCGCTGCAATGATTCAATGACAACATTGACAAAAGTCTGTTAAACGCTCTCCAGTTACATTTCTGACGCTTAAATCCACTTTCTTTGAATCTGTTCATATATTATAAGGTATTGACTTCGTTCTGTCGTCAATTTCCTCTTCATTTCAGAAAGCAGAGAATCTCCTGGAAGTGACTTTCTTAGTTACTTTTTTTTTTACTTAAGTTTATTGTCACGTCAGTTAAGATAAGAAATTTTACACGAAGATCCATGATGTTCAGGGCCCTGACGCACTGAGCTGACCTCATAGAAGTAGAGCCAACAGAAGCTGATGAAATGTCGTGTATCACTCGCACAGTCTCATGTCTTCTGATTAGACAGAACAAAAACTGTGGCTTCCGTCAGTTTTAACTGACTGTGTGATGTGCTGCTGTGAGGTTCAGGTTCAGTCTGTGGTTTGCGTCTGGATAAAAGACAAATGTAAGGAGAGGCTGCACTTGATGGGTGAAATCACTAATTTGCCTGTGAGACAACTCGCTCTCACAGTCGGCCTCAGATTAAACATACAAAGCAGCTGAATAGCCAGTGATAGAGGCCGATTAGTGGTTACAGCACCATGCATGGCAAAAACTGTGGCCAGTGGTTAGCCACCGACACTTCACCAGAGTCCAGGAGCAGCTGAGCTTCTTCAGTGTGTCCGAGCCGTTAAATCACCTGATCAATCAGAGTGACCGCATGTTACTCGAAGGCTTCAGAGCCGATTCAAGAGCAGTTAACAAGGTGTCGATTAAATGTTCATGTTACGCTCCAAAATATTGAATACTTTGTTTTTAAAGTTGGTCTTTATCCACATTAATTTAACAATATATGATTCTGTGTAGTGATAATATCATATGGCTTGATAAACGATGCAACTCACTCTTTTCCATGTGTCACTTACTTTGAATCACTGTGAATTTGCACAATGTCCCTGAGATTAAATGGTCTCCCAGTCTCCAAGGTGGAGTTGGACTCCACAGACACACGTCTCTTGAAAGGCT